AACACAAAGTATACTTTTGTGCAAAATATTAATACAATTTTGTAAATAATATTTTGCAGAACATTACATTTTTGCTTAAAAAATAACTATAAAATACTTATACTATATAAAATAGAACATTCTGGCATTCGCCCATAAAAAAATTACTTAAATTAAAAATTGTACATTAAAGCTTATACAAATTAACGGGATAATCAATTAGTATAGTCGAAATTGATTAAAACCAATTTTTTCTTAAAATTTGCCGATACAAAACTTCTTAAAACATACCGCATACAATCCCTTTGTTGTCCTACACTAGTTTACTTAAAAAATAATTGTGATTTTGTGATGTTTCTCTAAGAAAACATTTGTATTTATGTAATAAAAATAGTAAAACATTAAATAATATTCAAATGTTTATCTTTTTTAATTAACTCACGCCAATTGAATCGTCGAATGGAATAAGAAAGGTCATATTGCCCCTTAATTCAAAATCGGTGGCACTTTTTTTACTAAAATACGTGTTAAACTGTAACTTGTGTTTTTCAGTAGATTCACATGGAAATATAGCTTTCAATTTTGGTTTATACTCTCCCTGAAATCATGGGTTTAAAATTAGGTACTAACAATTTAATCAGGTCAATTGGGTTAATTTACGATTTGTCCACATTACCATTGGCAAGTTCGGTAAGTATGTTGACGGCTTGTTTCCTGTTGTATTTAAAACACAGCATGCAATCAGTATTATAGTAAGCAGAAACATTATTACGACAAATAGCTTCAAACAAACTTAATTCCAGTACTAGTTGTACTTTCAATAGTGGCACACGTGTACACTGTACATACAGTAAATTGTAGATACACATTTATAGTTGGCCTCCCCTCGCAATTTTAATTTCACAAAAAAAAATAAAGTAATCATAGATAGCAGTTCTTTAGTGAATTGCAAATGTATTATCATTTTGTTATTATCAGCCATCAACATCATCTAATTATTATTTAATGCAATGTTTGTGACATTCCACCATGAACAAATGTAATTACAAACCAGTATGTAAAATCTGCGGCACCTCTCTCACGGTCAAACACGCTTTAACAGAATGCAGAAAATACGATGACCTTAAAAGAATCAACCAATTGCCTGAAGATCTATGGGAAATCCCAGGACCATATACCGACATCTCGAAAATTGTTAATTTTATTTTACAATCTGATTTGCATGAACTTAGATAAATATCGATTATTGTAATTGCGATGAGCCGATTAAATAGTATAATCCTCCATTTTTCTATGAGAGTTGGTTTATTTATTCTTACAAAATATCCTTTTGATACTCTACAAGGATGTGCAAGATAAATATAACAGAAAAGGATTACATTTAAAGAGGTCAGAGGTATATAAAAGAAGGTATTTGGAGCAAAGCCTTCCGTGAGTCGGTCACGTATATACTTAAAAGTAGTTTGTGGCACTTTTTATTCAGGGTGTTCAAAAAGTTCGAAAACGTGCATTTTTAGGACTGTTATTGCTTTTTTCTTCAAATTTTGATTTTTAGATATTAAAAGTTGTTTTTTACACATATTTAACGCTCAAGTACACAATTTTATCTAAAGTAAACAGTTTGTAAATGTAATCATCATAATCGTGAAATTTAAATGTTTAAATATTTTTTAGGATAATATGTTGGCAATTAATATTTTTAATACAAAAATAATTAAAAACTCTTATAAATAACAACAGTTATCAAAAATTATAACCAAATATATATATATTATATATTGTTATAAATTATATATTAATAATTATAGTTCAAATTAGTGCACTTTTAAGAAGCATTTTTTTAGGTATATCCAAATAGATGAATTAATTATTAAAATACCCAGTATATTTTCCGGTAACAAAAATGTAGCCTAATCACCTCTAGACAATATTTTTTCTTTTTCTTTTCAATACTGAAGTTTTAAGTAATGTAATACTTTAAATTAATGATTTGTTAACTTCCGTTTTGGTTCAAAATATTGAAATAAATATTTTATTGATTTTATATGCTAACCTCTTTCATACTGCATAGTGCATATAATATATTGTTAATTACTAGCTATTCCTAGGATTTCTTTTTTTAATATGAACTACAAAAAAACGTATACAGTTGATTACCTATTCACTGGAATTAAGTTACGGTTGAGTCGCAAACACGAAATTAACTACTAAATAATAACTATATGATGCTGATTGCTGATTATAATTGCACATTTACAATTGTCGAGACAACTAATATCTACAACTGTACTGTTTTCATTATACAGAATCGATTATGTTGCTTATATAACTTCCCCTGCAACTATAACTACATACTACTATCTACAATTAACCGTATGCACAGTGTACACGTGAGTCACTATTGAAAGAACATCTTCATTGTGAATTCCGTTTCCTAAAAACCATTTGTCGTAATTCGCTGTTAACAATGTATCTGGTAACTATTATGATTGGATGTTGTGTTTTAATCACATCAGGAAACAAGCCGCCAACATACTTACCGAACTTGCCAATGGTAATGTAGACAAATCATAAATTAACCCAATTGACCTGATTGAATTGTTAGTATTCATTTAAACCCATGATTTCAGGGAGAGTACAAAATAAAACTTAAAGCTGTATTTCCATGTGAATCTACTAAAAAACACAAATTACAATATAACACGTATTTAAGTAAAAAAAGTGCCACTGAATTTGAATTAAGGGGCAATATGACCTTTCTTATTCCATTCGACGATTCATCTAGCGTGAGTTAATTTTTATATTCCCATAATAATTATAGCCTTTAGCTGCAGAAATATATATTTTTTATATAATTACATTTCGGATTTATAATCTGACAATGTATTTATATAAAACATAGTAAAATCCAAAAATCTTATGTTTTATCAACCGTAAAAATGTAATTTTACGATTCTAATGAAATTTATTATCTGTATTACAATTTAGATTTAATAGTTTAAAAAATATACACTTGCTCATTTAAGCGTTTATTAGAACGGTACAATTGTTTTTAATAAGATAGTTTTTTTTACATATTAAAAGTATTTTACAGTAATTTTTTAGGCAAAAATGTAATGTTCTGCAAAATATTATTTACAAAATTGTATTAATATTTTTCGCACAATAGTATACATTTCGATCTTTTGTAGCTTAATATCAACATGGCGAAAAAAGGATCAATCGGTGGTTGGATAGATAATGCACATGTCTACACCTCGACTAATGCTTGTTCAAAAATCAAGTCATTATTTGGAAATGCGTGGCAGTCTTATATCCAAGGATTTCATTTTTCTGATTCAAGTTGTCCATTGAAGCCGGTAAAAATTGTTATAAATAATTTCGTTGACAATTATTATGACCTCTTGATCGAAATAACCCATAATGTAATTTATTATGTATTCAAATTTTCAATTAATTTGTAGTATAAATAATTATATTATTAATATGACATTTTATTAAGTATCTTATACAATTTATCATACAAAATATTTTATACATATTTTATCTTTATTATAGGGCGTTTATGTGTCATCTGGAATCGACCTTGCCAAGTTGCTGAATACTAATTTCCCCAAGACATTTTTTTACGGGGAGTATAAAATGGGTTTAACATTCACAAGCAGTAATAACGGGGAAAAACTTGGATGTACTGTGTTAGTTCTAGATATTATACGACCCTGGGAGAATTAAACATAATAATTTTAAATTATTTTCATGAAGTATAAAATGTTATGTATTTTATTTTATGAACTATATTTGTTTAATTTCCATTAACACTGGGTCCGGTTTTATTATTAGCTATTATTAAAAATACATCAAAATTAAATTAAGAAAATTAATAAAAAAAACATTTTATGTGTGTTGAAAATAGATAATTGAATTTTTATTGCTATGCATTTATTTTATATAAATAACATACTATATCGCATATACATTAAAACTGTAACAACTACAAAAAAACTTTTTTTCACAAAATGTCGACAAACTTATTGCTATTGTCGTTTTATCGCTATATGAGTTTACATATTATTATTGAGTATAAATTGTACAATCTATACTTAATGAAATTACCTATGCTTACAGTGGGTAGTACGCATTTGAATATTTGTTTGAATTTGTAAAATTTAGGTTTTTGTATTTTTTTTTGGTCAAATTTTAAAAACTACTGAATGTAGTAAACGAAAATTTAAAAAGGTTTCAGCAAAGATAAAGCTGTTCTTTATTAACTGTGAAAATGTTGTGATCTTACAACAATTCCAAACAAACCATAGTGTGTGATTTGCCCCAAATCTACTACGATGAAGACAAAAATTTAATTTTTTTTAAAATAAAAATTACTATGATGGGCTGACAAAAAAACAACCACTAATAGAAAGAAAAGACTCCTCATTACTGTATTAATGTACAATACACTAAATGTACAAGTTGTCACTCATAATGATAATATTATAAAATAAAATAAAAAGAAAATTTTCTTATTTTCGCAAATCTATATTCTGTAATAAAGAGTGAGTACTCTATGTCATTTCTACTTCTACGCATAAAAAACTACTAATATATATTTGTTGGCAACGATGTATAATACATAATATATTTTCAATATTACCATAATATATTACATTATGGTAATTACTTAGTTCACATATTTTAAGGCTTCTGTTGAAACACTTATTTTTTTTTTTACTTAGTGTCCACTTACATTGAGTTAACGAAGGTTTTTGTTGGGATTGAAAATTTCAAGTAAAGAAATTTAACAAATATTGCATTATTACATAATTTGAAATAGATAAAAGTATTGCTGATATATGTATGCTAAGAATAAATTAGTTTCACTTATATTTAACTGTTTTAAAGTTGGCAGCTATTCGTACGAACAATACAAATTTTGAAAAATAATACTTTGAATAGCGTACAAACCGTAACAAGTATTGAATAATATTAATGTTTACTGGGTAAATTATTATTTATTACATACTTACCTACATATATGTCTATAAAAAAAATCTAATAAAAACCGATTTTTTTTTTTGTGATGAAAAACATTATTGAAATAATTAGACACACAGCAACAAAACGAAAACCGTAGTTCCGCTAGCTTGTAGTATAATGTCTTCTACGAACTTATTAATAATTATAACATTTAATAGTAATAAAAACTGTTAAAAATTGATAGATTCGAAGGTAACAATTGCTTCGAGGTCAGGAGGAACACAGCTGCAAACCGGCTGCCGGCAGAACAACGCTGTGATAACAGTAACTGATAACGTTTATCGCTGGGAAGGCTGTTATCACTTATCAGCAAGAACGCTTCGCCGTTGTCGTTTTGTTTTACAAAAACCGTGAAGTAAACCTTGTAAATGCCGTTTGACTTGAGCGTTTCCCGTTCTCCGCCTTCAACCATGCACAACCCGCTTACACGAGATACCTTTGGAGGCGTTTGAACGACAATGTGTGGCAAGAAATCGGCCCTTGTCCTGTACCCGTGGACCAAACTCACGGGTCTATTGAAAAAACACATTTCGCAAAACGTAAGTTCAGATCGACGATACCCATTTTAAGTAATCGTTAAAGCTACAAGCGATACGTCAGCTTGCCAGAAAATATACACTTCTAGAGGAGTTGTACTCGTTTCTAGTTCTTTTTTTTTATGTTTAACGACCGTCATCGAGAGACACCGACCCACATTCATGACCTAATAAAACATAATTTTGTGGTCGAAATCAATTATTATTAATAATTTTATTCAGCGCATGATTATAGAATTGTACTCTTTTTATCAGTGACTTGATTGTACAAATAGTTTTTCAAAAATGAGTTTTTTTTTCTTTAAGTATAATGTAATGTGGATATTGTTTAAAAAGGCACAAAAAAAAGAAAAGATCAGTAATATCTTCGCCCAAAAGCTAAAATCAGTTGAGTAATTAAAATTATCCAATAACACATAATCAATTAATACAAAGTAAATATTTAAAAAAACACCTGGAGTCAACTATCCCATTAAGATGATACGACATATTAAAAATGTAATATTTAAGATTATAATATTTGACATTATAATATTAAAATAGCTGTTATTGTATTATTTGTTTTAGACTTTAGTTGTGTCGATTTCATTGGGCATTACAGTTAGCACAGCTCTTTTAATAGTCTTAGGAAATTATTGGAAAAGAAGAAAATATCCTAAACATTCAGCTCCCGTGATCAAACACATGAATTACGAACGAAGAAAACCTAACGTCGACATACCCTCAGGTGTGAATTTAATTAAGTTTATTACCATAATTGTCGCTTTTCTAACTCGACTATTATATTAGTATCCAGCTTTAGGATTTTCAGAACTAGTCATAGATCACTCAGTCCAAGCATTAAATCGGCTAATCGACAAACGTCTGTAGTGTCATCAGTCCAAGATTCGCCACAAGCTAAAACTGACATTAAATACACTGCCCCTCAACAGCTTGGCGTCATGGGTACTGAATTCTATGTTAATCAGATTGCTTCCAAAGAAATATTTAATGTTATTTGGTAATTATTGTTTACACAAGGTATGGAGTCTTTAGCTTGCAGTATATCTTTTTGGGAAGATGCGCTACTGTCATTTTCCGGTGCTTCTGGCAATTCATCAAACAGACTTATGTCTACCGAAGACACCCAATTTTATAAAGAACTCCAGCTCTTAGTTGATTCAGCATATTCTCTACAAGATCAGTGTCAATTACTATTCCTCGACCAAGTACATATTTTGTTGAATAAAAAAAAAATTGTAGACATTTGCTTTTAGTGTTAATCAAGATATTTATTTTTAGAGATCAGTATTATTTCGTGTTCATCATAATGGAAATGACGAGGACACTCTTCACCCTGACGATCGTCGTTCTTCTGTTGATAGTTTTGTATCTGCTCGCACGGACGTAAGTGTTTAATTGGATTTGGTTTGAAAGCAATATTAACATGCCAATTTTTGCGAACTCTACTTTTTTACTATATATGTTAGTAATAACCTAATTTTCAAATTATAAAAATACTTGTAATACATATAAGTTTGTGTTTATAATTTTTTTTAATTAATACTGTTTTATTAGTAAAAAATTTAAAAAAACTAATTTTTTTTAACTACCGTTAAAAACACAATTTTATAAACATTCGAAAAGGTAGTTTTTAACATTATTTTAAACAAAAGCACACACATTAAAACAATCATTTTGACCTATTTGTTTTTTATCATTATTTTTTTTTAGTAAGTTCTGATCAATTAAAGTTAATAAAAAAAAGTGTTACCGATATTTTCATCATATTATATGAGACGCAAATCGCATGAAAAGCTTCTTAACCATTAACACACACTAGATGGTTTTAATAAAATAAAACATTTTAAATAAAATAATCAGTGGTATAAGAAGAAATGAGTTAGAACACTGAAGTTCGAAAATAACACTACAATAGAACAATACATTTTGTTTTAATTAAAATAAATAGTAAACATTTCAAAACGGTTAGAAAATTAAATTTTGTTTTATTACATCAAACATTTTAAAATAATAAATTATTTCAAAACCAAACTGACACAACCCAAAAAAAATTATTCACTAAACGTCACAACTTATTTTTTTGCAATTTGTATTTAAAAAATATAATTGACTTTTTAATAAATTTGTGGGTTAATTGCTTTACTTGTAAGTACATCTTTCCTAATGTTTTGTAACAACTAAAAAAAACAATTTTATTTAACCCTTTTATTCCTGGGATTTTTTCGTTTTCCAAAAAAAAATGAACAATTTTTTACGTATTGGACTGATATTGATTATCAATATAGCTGTGTCGATTTTTTTATCATCAATCTATACTAGAACTTGTGTTTAAAGCCATTTTTGATAATGATAGTACTTTGTTAATATTTTATTTTAAAATTTAAATCCTCGTACAAGAATGTCAGTAACGAAAGGGTTAATATTATTAATTTTATATTTTCGCCTACATGTTTTGTAACCAGATTAACATGTTTTACCTTTGGGGTTCCAAATTTTCGATTATTCATTTTTTAATTTTAGAAGTCCTGAAAAAAAAGGTTTTTTCTTGTTTTAATTAATATGTATGTGTTGTTTTTTATTAATCATGAAAACAAAACAATTTTTTTATTTATTCCTCTTATGTACCAGTTACGAGGCCTGTAGTCTGTACTAATCGGTAAAATTTGTTATTTTGTAAGGTTGCAAATCTAAGAGAATTTGAAGAATTAAGTTTCGATAATTACTATCTGTATCAAAACGCCATTAAATACGTTGAGAACGAGGGTGTTTCATGCAGGTAACATATTAAAAAAAATTACTGTTCGCTAACTGATATTTGTTGTTTTTGATTATACTTTAGGAGTTTTCGCACGACGTTAGTGAACTGTGTATCGGACCGAGAATATGTTTGCAAGCTCTACTGTATTCGCTTAGCATTCGAACATTTATTTAAGACTGAAAGTAGTTCAACATGGTTTGCCGACTGTGGACGGCGCATACTAACTGATATATTTTTATTTGCCGAAAAAGTACGTATCTATTTTCTCGACACTGTTACCAATTGGTTGTTATCAATAATTATATTCAATCGTTACACGTTTTAAGGATCCTAAAGATTTCCTTTTGGCCTACGAAGAAATGTTGTGCTGGGCGAAAACTGACGTGCATTGGAAAGAAGCTGAGCTTGAATTGTCTGTGAGAGGCGTAAAAAAAATGACATTTTATGATATTGTAATGGATTATATTTTAATGGATGCGTTTGAAGACCTTGAATCGCCTCCAGCATCCATGGTGGCCGTCATACAAAATCGGTGGTTGTCAAAAGGGTTCAAAGAGACTGTACGTACCTATAAATAAATATATATATATATATATATATATAACTATTATTATTACAGACTTTACCTGTCAACTATGATCAACTATATTAATTTATAATAACTATGTTAGTTATATTGAGTTAGGACACATTCACAGCATACTCTAAGCTCTCTCATTATTCTGATCTTAAGTTAAATAAATGTGATAACAATTTATGGCAAAATACTTTTTTAATTTTATACAATGAAAATTCATTTATTTTCTAATAGAAACGTTTTTGGTGTGCAGAAACTTTTTTTTAAATTATTTATTTTTGCAAATTTGTATAATATGTGTTAAATTTTTTAGGCATTGGCGTCCGCAGTGTGGTCAGTGTTACGGGTCAAAAGAAGTAAATTAAAATTTCCCAATGGATTTATGCATCACTTTTATAATATTTCTGAGCAAATGTCACCGCTGCTGGCGTGGGGTTTTCTGGGACCCGACGAAGAACTGAACAGAGTATGCTTATATTTCAAGGTAAATTGTTTATCAGAGTTAAGTGAAAATTGCATAAAGAACACACCAGACTCGGCCAATAAACACATAATATTTATTTGCGTCAGATTTACAGCCTTGACGGTAAAATCTGTTGTAACAAAATTTTTTTTTACCCTCCGTTAAGAGTTGACTTACTTATTAGTCTTACTTTTATTATTTTCAAAACAGTGTTGTTTGGAATTAATTTTAAACATCAAATTGTACCATTACACATTATACTTTAAAAATTTGAACGTCTTAATGTTCACATGCAATGACAAAACTAACTAGTTAATGTTCTTACCAAAAATAAATACGGTCAATTTTTTTTTGTAGAGTATTTTTCATTAAAATTTTTAACTTATTTTATTTATTGTTTTTTTTTAAATATTTTTGATAAATATGACAATATATTAATATTACTTTATCTAAAAACCTACTAACTCTTAAACGAGTTTACAGAATTGTTGCATGAAACTGAATGCGATAAATATTGGCTGCGTTCTTTCTAAATAATAATTTTGTTTTTCTAGTTTTATTGCTATTAGCTTAAAACATTATTTTGTGGACGAAATAAATTATTATTAAATTTAAATTAGTATTTCAAAGTTTAGAACTGTAAGGAAGTGATATCAACATATTATGTTGATAGAAATCATATTATATAATTTGTTTACACATTTAATGTGTTAATTACTCCCATTTTGTTTAAATTAATAGTTAGAATTTTCAGTTGGTTCATTTATTCTTGATTAATAATAATGGTAAAATGTAAATTTATTACAATAATTTAGCAAAATGGTTTTTATAATAACAATAGAATTGCAATCGGTTAAAGATTAAATGAATGTCATAATCATCTACAAATTTATATACTTCCATCTTGGTATAACATTTTAGTTTTAATTGAAGTAAATTATTTACAACTATTTTAAACAGTTATTGTATTTTAAAATATTGTATTTTTCTTTTCAATTTAGGAACAAGTTATAGAACTGATGCGAGATATTTTCTGTTTTGAAAAATGCCGCTATACGACCACAGAAGATTTGTCTCACGATTTATTCGAACAGTTCAAGTTCCGTGCCGAAAACATCAATAGAATGATCGAAATGAAATGTAATTTGGACATTAAAAAATAACGTCCATTATTGTTGTATTGTGAGGGATCTTACTTAAGTTACCGCTAAACGTAGCATAATTTTTATAATGTTACATTGGTATCTTTACGCCTTAATGGATAACTCTATTAAAATACCAGGGCTAAATCTCCTGAATTAACTTTTGGTTTTTACAATTAAATGTTATAAATACGAGTACAATTTTTCATTTATAAAATAGTTTAGGCCACGAGAACGGTAGAATTTTGACAATCATGTTATGATCTGTCCAAGTCACAAATACCTGGGCGGTCACCCAAAAAGCGGTTTTTACGGGGCCGCTTGGGTATTCTTAACTTGCACATAGTATAGCGTTAGCGTTGGTCGTACGAAATCGACCAAATTTTATGTTTTTAAGTTGTTTAGAAAAATGAAATATATTTCTTTTTACATAGTTTTTTTTTTAGTATGATGTTCGCTCTTATACCTATATTATTTGAAATAATTTTATAAAAAAGGATTTTTGTACAATTATTAAATTGTCACTATCCGTTGTTTTAATTTTCTTATAAAAAATAAAGTATGTATTAATATGTTTAAACCCTAATTGTATGTTTAACAAATATAATTAGGACTCCAGTGAATAGATTTTAATAAAAAGTTGTATGTAATTACAATTCTACTTAATTTGTATAAGAAGTGTAGACTCGAATAAATTATGTGATTTTAAAAATTATTTGTATACTAGTAGATAATAGTATTATAAGTTGTTAACTAAACTTGACCGTTTAAACAATATCAATGCATAATGTGTTCTGTTAAAACATTCTGATTACTGATATAATATAATTAATTTTAATAAGCGATCTGCTATTTTTTTACTTAAAATTCAGAACTCTTGTATGTATTAAATACATTGTTAGTATTATTTTATAAAATAAGATTGGGTATTGTTGTTGTTTTAAATTGTGCAATCGGGTTTAAAAATATATATCTTAAGTAGCTTTATTATTTACTCAAAATGGTGTCGAGAAACAACAAAATTACTGGTTTGTCATTGTTTTATTTATGTTTATTACATATAGCAGCAAAGATATTTCTTATATTATATAATATTATATTGGTTAATTATTACAGATATTAATTAAAAAATTGAATAAAATTGTATTCGTTTAAAACCAGTATTTAACTCTAAGTGATACATTTAATATTTTAAAGCCAAAGATAATTTTAGTCGATAAGTAAAATACGTAATATTAACGAAAATTATAATAAGCGAATAATAAAAATAACGGAAAATGTATGAATTATAATTACCAAGTGTAAAAATACTATCCTAATAGAGAATATTAAATCTAAGAGTATTAAGTTATGACGAATTACCCTAAACAAATAATTTTTCTATACACTAGATATGTTTAAACTGATAAAAAATGGGTAAACTTACAATTAATGTTGATAATTTAGTATTCTATTAAGAGCAATAAACAACTTGTTATTTTTAATTTCTAAAAGTTTATTTTCATAAATTAATTTTACATTAATTAATATATGTTTATTTAATTAATGTATATTTAATCGTTAAATATCTAACTAATCACTTAATAGTAATTAATATCTGTGAGTTTTATTTTTAAAAAAAGTTCTAATATCGGTAATTTTGATCGTACGAAAAGTACTAAGAAGTAAAATTTTATACATTATAAGCAATAAAGCGAAAAATAATTTGAATAAAATATATGTATTTGATTTGATTGCCAAAACGGGTCTAAGAATGTTGACATGATAAATAAATGAATTCATCAATATTTAATGTTTTAAATGAAAAAAAAAATTTAATTAGTGGGTAAACTTTTTTACAATGCTATGACTAAAAGACAACGGTGCTATCAATCCTTTAAATTTTGTATTTAATATTAATTACACATATTACCTATATCACACAAATTTCTGTATGGAATTCAATAAAATATAGCTGTTATATTTAAAATTATACAGCATTTTGGGTGAAAAAATAAAGCGTTTTGACTAGATCTTGATTCTAAGAAATAATTATTGCCTTAATAAACTTAAATAATTATGTAAATTAGGTTAATTTGTTTAAAAAAACAAATACCTAGTTGAATACCTGCTTTATTAAAAACATAATATTGCAATTATTTTTTTAAAGAAACTCTTGTAGCTTTCGTTAAACGGATTAGCTATTATTTTATTAAAATGTACAATGATCGAAATCTTTGAAAAACCATTTAAAATGTATACACAATCATCATCGGAATTTCTTCCCATTTGTAAAATCACATAGGTATGAATTACAACATTGAAATGTTTGATTACATTAGTTGATTAAACACGTTTTGACTTGACTTATTTACAACGAAATCAAAACAGTTGTAAACAGCTCTAATATTTATGAAGTAACATTCAAATTATATTTATCAATTGGCAACCCTAACAAAATAAACAAATAGGTGTGCCGGCAGCTCGTGTTTATCGATTTACACGAAATGGCCGCCGTAGTTGTTCACTAAGAAAGTGTACTGCCGCAGGAAAACTTGGGCGGCCATTTTGTGGGGCCTGCAAGTTGCCGGCATACCTGTAATTTTTTTGCCCCATGAAAACCACAACGATCCGTTCGTGACCATTTTGAGAAAGCCGGATACACATACAGCGCTGTTCGTGGCCATTTTGAGAAAGCCTACACTTACAGCGCTCCCTGTGTTATTTTGCTTTTTCAATAATATAATGATAAAAAAAAAAAGGGCGTCCCAACTCCCAAGCCCTTTGACGCCGTCGGGGTCTGTCAAGCATTTGACGCTGTCAGTTGCTAATTGCTACAATTGTTGTTGTTGTTGTTGTTGTTGTTTGGCTGGAGGTGAGGTTTGGACTGTTGAAAATTAATAATAGTTTTGTTTCCGAATGAAGTTTTATTTATAACCGAATTTAATGTATAATATTTTTCTACGGTTTGTTTTCAGTTGAAATAACATATTATTTTGGACGACATCGAATAAGTACCGATATCTCTCGAGTTTTGGTCACTGCGATCCACGGCACTTTGTTCATAATGGTAATTGATTTTTTTACAAATGATCATATCCGGTAAGGCATATTTTGTTTTGATTCATTTAAATGATATGTGTACACGATAATTTCAGGACGTTTACTTGATGATTCAGCGCCAAAAGAAGACCATATTACTCGATACCAAAGACACCATGACCATTTACGATTTAAAAGACATGATTTCGTGTATGCGACTTTCTATTATTAAGCCAGTGACATTAAATAATTTTCTTTTTTAATTTAAATTTAATTTATATTTCTAGATATAATAAATGTTCCTGCGGTAGATCAAGAACTCTATTTTAAAGATCAATTATTGGATGACGAACTAACTTTATCAGATTACGGTATCATACCCAACGCTGCTAAAGCACAAAATCCGGCAAATATCGGTTTGGCAGTAAGGTAAAACACAATTTTTTAATTTACTTAAAAGTTGTAGGCGGTAAAGATAACGTAACTTTCCCCATTATCTGTCATCTAGGTATTTTTTTTTTTTTTTAGAATATCCTACTTTGATTAGTCTACTATATTATGATATTGTTTAATTACCTGTCGAGTACTTGTTAAGCGATTTAGAAATAGATCACAATACAAGCATGTAAATAACTGTTCGAGTTTTTTTTATAAATGCATACAACTTTAAATTAACATTTACCAGAAAATTAATGTCTTGCGTAGCGTTTGATTCATCACACAGTAGATTTAGTTATACTAATCTCTCGACAACATTACAACTATTACATAAATCAAGTTTATTTAGCAAGTCTATAGCTCTAAAATAAGTTTTGAAAATTAAACTGATGTTAGATCAAAATGAGTTCTTAAGAAAAATTATAAAAACCTTTTGGCGTTTATAAAACTATTTATGTTTATATATTTTAATCATTATAAACAGATACAATTAGGTTCACGTCAGAGTGTTATTAGATAATTTTTTCTTTTATAACAATAAACTATTATACATCTACTATAGTGAGTTACTTAAATTACCATGTTAATAATATTATAGTATAGCTGTAGTATTCAACAAATTGAAATGTATAGCACAAGAAATAATTTTTTTTCAAATTAAATTTGATGTACTGCTATATTTAATCGGTTTTTATAAAATTAAATTTCCACTTATCGATAATAAATATTATTCCAAACGATAAAAAATAATATTCAGATAAGGAAAAACGTCCTTTACACTTATTTATATAAATATTTTTTTACAGAATGCCTGATGGTAATTTTGAAGAATTAAAAATTGATGAATACTCAACAACACCTGATGTGCCTACGTTTTTGAAGCCCCAAGATTCTCCAGATGCCTCCGATCAAGCCTCTTATTCAAATTAAGCAATATGGAACATGTTTTTGTTTACTACTATTTCTACTATTTGTGTGTGTGTGTGTAATGATGTGTAAACAGTATCTCATTTTAAAGACTTTATTAACTTTCTAATCAATTTGTCTAGACAAATTGTCATAAGCGTAAGTATATCTTATGCACTGAACTGAATAGGTGTATAATATTATATTCAGTACAGTGGTTTTGTGTGTTAAGATTATTGATATCTTATTCAAATTCCCTTTTACCACTACTATTTTAAACATGATCTTTAAACTTATAATTCAGTAACTTTTAATTAAAAACAATTGTACGAATCTTACCTTTAGTTCAAATTAATACATCATTTTATTTGAAATATTTTTTTTTTGTTATATACTATTCAAGAGTTATAAAAATTTATATTTAATATTACAGTATAAGAATAATATGTATAAGTCATGCAATTAAGATATTTGTATTAATAAGCTAATTTATTTTTCATTTATTATACTTCTCTTCGTTTGTTTAAAAGTGGTATTTATATCCAACTTGTAGTTGTATATTAACTTTTTTGAGTTACGTATTTTGGGTTGAATAGCTTACAGCTTTGTACTGTGTACACAACATTTATACGACATACGTATACAATTTAATGGTTTACTTCACCACTATAATTGGAGTCCAGAATAACTTAGGTACAACAAAATTTAATGGAAAATAAATTTATTTTTTATTAAGTGATTTGGTCAAAAATTAAATTAGAATGATGATTAAATGGTTTTTTCAACTGACTATTAATAATTTTTTATTCGCAAATAAATTTAGATAACTTTTAACATTCTAAATAACTTGATTAACATGAACAAATTAAATTTTTTTTTTCATCGTTTAAATTTGTATTTATTATTTATAAATGTGATTAATATTGCTAAAAAGTATGTTGACGGCTCGATGACATTTTCGTAGGTAGCTTTTCTGTCAATATCTTAACGGGTAAAAAAATTATTTTATCAGACCAAATCACTTAAAGCAGGGGTAGGACTCAAAAAGACTAGAATCAGTATCATTGTTTTCGATTGCCGTTACCTCTGAACTGGTCTAGTATCGGAAACAGAATGTTGAGAGAATACAATTCTAATTGCCTTCAATTATGATTGCTTTAGACCTTAAATCAGTCGTATAGCGGTTTATTTAAATGATGCATCTTGTCAACATTTTTATTTTATACTAAAAACCCTGCAAAAAACATTAGCTACAAACTATAAAATAAAATAACAGTAAATCGAATTAGTCATTCTCGAGCACACTGACAGCCAGAGAGACGTTGAGTTTTATAAGATTATAATATATACACTAAAATAAAGCATAAAATATAACAAAAATCTTTTAACCCATCGTCTATGAATTACTGGTCTACGTACTAAGCTTGTAAATGGCAAATGACATTATAGTCGGACACCCTTTTTTTTTTATCACTACAATATTCAGTACTCACAAATGGACTTTATTTTATCTAATATATCTCCTGTCGGAAATTTAAAAAAATAATATTAAACAATACGTTAAACAAATTCACCTTTGCCCTGACTTGTACCATAGGTTCATTTTGTAACTAAATTTGAAAATCTATGTATGGTCCAGAGTACGTGTCCTTTGAAAGCACACACACACAAGTATATAATTTAAAATCTTAACAAAGCTATAGATGGTAGTTAAAAAAATAGAAGATTTTAATTTGACTGTTATGTGTGAACTGCTTCAAGTGATAATGGAAACAACTTATTAAATATTATGGTTTGGCCAAGGTGACCCATATACAAACGGTTGTCTTTAAACAACATCTTTAGACAGTGTTTTTCTTATTCACAATCCTTTAAGTTCGAACCAGTTAGTATATCTCCAATAAATATTTTTACTGTGTAATGAATATTATGCTTTTGTCAATTTAGCGTTTTATCATATCAAATTAAATAATTTTATGTTAAAATAATTTGTGAAAACCAATCTTCATTCTTCAAAGTTTCAGTCAAAAAGTCAGTACAATTCGCTGAATTTATTGGAATAACGATATCAAAAATGAATTGTTTTAGTCTAAAAATGTTTACAAAATTAAAAAAAAATTGCTGTTAAATAAAAATCTCTTATTTTTGAACTGAGAATTTTTTAATTGTTAATAAAGGTCTCCTTAAAAATACTTTTAGAGCTTTAAATTATTTTTTACATGGGTACAAATCCCAATCAACAAATAAACTTTAAGATGTAACTTCAGTCTAATATAATTTCTTATCAATATCAAAAAGCTGATTTTTTTTATAAGTTGTGGAACAAATTATATTTTTAGTTGATGAATTCTTGTAAAAATTAATTTTTTTCTTATAGATAAAAATTAGCATTTAGACCGCAGTATTTTTAAACTTTTTTGAATTATTTTTTTATTTAAAGTTATTTATAAAAAATACTTTATTTTGGACAGAATGTACTGTGAAACTGACTAATGCAGTTCAGTCTAGTGACTATATGCATTGTTAACTCAATGAAGGTTAATAAATATAGTAAAATATAGTCCAAACTTGGACAATTCGTTTTTGAATAACAGTAATAATTTGAAAATAATTATTTATTTAAAATATCCTTACCTAACAGTTTTTTTTCTGTACCATATAATTTTTTAATAGAAATTAATTGTTGTTTACTCTGTTTCAAATAATATTTGATTCAATTTTATTTTTTTTTTTCAATTTTATTACAATAAACAGTTGTTGAATTCTGTTTTAATGGACCATACAACGGTTTTATTTTTGACAGGAATTGCTACACACTGTTACAAAATATTTACATTCGTCCACATACGAATCCATAACAAATGACAGCTATAGGTACTTACTTACTCTAAATCAATTAACTCTGATCAGCTAGGTATGTTCAAATATTTATTATATTATTTTAATTTTATATTACAATTGTTAGGTATTATTAACATAAGTCGTCTAAAGTCACACATTAGCCACGCTTCGGACCCGAATAAATCTTATTGTTAAGTGTTAAATGAAAAAAAAAAAATGTACTTAAGACTATGTTTATTCCAGGACATTTTTCATTCGAAAATTTTAACATCTGGTGATTAAAAATGAGAAATAGGTACACACTGATTATAAAAGTCGTACATTGATACAAGAAAAAAAAGTTCAATCTAAGCATAACAACGGGCAATTTAAAAAAACAGAGATAAACAAACATTTAGTCATTTACTAGCATGTATGCGATAGTGAAGTAAATAGAAAGACTAAAACAAAAGACCACACAAAAGAAAAAAAATTCTTCATTGTTGATCGGTTGGTACTGTGTTATTATTAAAATCATTCGTTTATTCTCATAACTAAATAATATATTTATTAACTCGTTGATAAACAGAAATAAGTCACCAGCACACGCAGACATGGTCTGCGCTATCTTATTATATTGTTTTTCAAGATACTATTATCATAAATCATTGATATCTTATCACCACGATGTATTGAACGGTATTTTTTTCTCTTATAATGTTAGTACCCCATTTGTATGCATCTTATATTATGAGCCTTTCAAATGCAAAGTGGCGTGCGCCAAGTCTTAACATATTTTACCGAGCTATATTGTTTAAATACTGATGTACATAAAAATCACAACTTTCAAAAAAATTCTCGTACACCAGTTTACTTTTAAAGAGCTCCTAATATACATACCAATGGGATACTAACATCACAGTAATTTACTGTACGTAGAGTATAAGTTAGTAAAGTTAGTCTGATCGGTTAGAAGAAAAAAAATACTGTTCAAAATATATCATGCTGATAAGATATGAATGGTAATAATATCTTGAAAAAAAAACAATAACATTTTAAGATAAGGAGTAAAAACTCACTTTCTCATGAAGAGTACCAATCGCATAACAATGAGAACATTTTTTTTTTTTTGTGGTCATATACTGGTTTTAGTCCTGTTTACTTCACTATCACATACACACAGGCTTCTGGGATTGAGCACGGACTGCTGCCGTGTTTAATTGACTTCCAGTGTCGTTAATATTGTTAAGCTAGCTGATTGAAGATTTGGCTTCCGTGATCAGTGAACTCTAGAACACCACCATTGTCGTATTCTCTTTTTAGACTGTCGAATTCACCAACTTCTCCGCCCGTTCCTTCGCTTTTGATAACGGGACTGTCTCCGGTTTGGCCGGACCCGCCTGGTAGAGGTCCGGGAGGTGGGCAATTCATAATTGCATCTGGCATTACTTTCGGTTCGGCAACAGCAGCGTATCCGGTTTGGCCGGACCCGCCTGGTAGAGGTCCGGGAATTGGCCAATTCATAATTGCATCTGGCATTACTTTCGGTTCGGCAACAGCAGCGTATCCGGTTTGGCCGGACCCGCCTGGTAGAGGTCCGGGAATTGGGCAATTCATAATTGCATCTGGCATTACTTTCGGTTCGGCAACAGCAGCGTATCCGGTTTGGCCGGACCCGCCTGGTAGAGGTCCGGGAATTGGCCAATTCATAATTGCATCTGGCATTACTTTCGGTTCGGCAACAGCAGCGTATCCGGTTTGGCCGGACCCGCCTGGTAGAGGTCCGGGAATTGGCCAATTCATAATTGCATCTGGCATTACTTTCGGTTCGGCAACAGCAGCGTATCCGGTTTGGCCGGACCCGCCTGGTAGAGGTCCGGGAATTGGCCAATTCATAATTGCATCTGGCATTACTTTCGGTTCGGCAACAGCAGCGTATCCGGTTTGGCCGGACCCGCCTGGTAGAGGTCCGGGAATTGGCCAATTCATAATTGCATCTGGCATTACTTTCGGTTCGGCAACAGCAGCGTATCCGGTTTGGCCGGACCCGCCTGGTAGAGGTCCGGGAATTGGCCAATTCATATTTGCACCTGGCATTATTTTCGGTCTGGCAACAGCAGCGTCACTTCCATAACCACCGTAAAACATGAAGTGATTTTCCACGTAGTTGTTAGGATGGTACGGGTATTCCTGTCCAAATTTCGGTTGGTTTCTCAATTGTTCCCATATTTTTCGAAAGCACATACTATTTTTGTTGGGTTTTCCAATGACTTGCACAATTCGGTCATTGCTCATGGGACAGCATGATGTGTAAACCTTGATCGTGCATCCTGTTTGCCGGAGTAGTTTCAGCATATCACCTCGTTTTCCAATAATGCATCCAGCTTGACTCCTGTGCACTAATAGTCTGACGTCGACCTCTCGAGGAATACGAGGCTTGTCATATATTCGTATTTTGTCCAATACTTTGCCGAACACCCGAAAAAATGTTTTGCCCTTTGCTTTGATAGTGAGAATTCGTTCGGGACTCGTACTATCCAGTATAGTGACTGAGGCATTGTAGTCCGACCTAAGTTTACTTATATTCGATCCACCTTTACCAATAACTGCACCAGCGACCGCGTTTGGAATGAGAAATCTCATTTCAATATCCTCGGATGCCGCGAACATGGGCCTTTTGAATCGGTACTTTGAATGGTCATCGCGAAATCTATTCATGTCTTAAATGCGTTTCCAAAGTCCTACAGAATTAAGTAAAGTGTCAAAAATGTAATATAACCACAAATGCCACCGGTAATAATAATTTATCGGTATAGAAATTACAATACTTCATGCCAATCATTTTGCATTTGTTATTTGCATTAATTAAAGTAGAAATTAAATATCAGTTAAGCTATCAGACAAGGGCACCCAAAGAAAGGGATAGAGGAGGGAAACCCCCCTAGTTTTTCTGCAAATTAAAAAATTGTATAAATCTAATATCCCAAATTTATAAAATCATAGATGCCCCCCTCTCAGAATTTTTACATGTAGGCGCCCTTATTAATATACTGTACCAGTGATTTGTACACATTTTTTTGGTAGTTATAACAAATAGTGTACCTACATTTTTGCTTGGTAACCTTTTCGATCCTTGTTAATATATTTCCTAATGCTATCTAAAAGTTTTGTTTTACAATTCAAAATTTTTTGTCCGGTAATTTATAACGTCCCACAAACGAGAGAATAAAACGTAGTAGGGGAATGGTGGGTATAATGATGTAGTATGGTAAACCATGGTATTGGTGGTAATGGTCACACAGGAATCGATTCCAGTGTGACCAATACTACCAATGCTCTGTTTTACCATAATACCCCATTATACCCCATTACCTTTCCACTATAAATAATCTAGTAGTTTTAACATTATAAATAACAATTACTATGTGTACATACATTGCATGCAAGATGGAGGGTCAAGATAAATACAATTTATTAAAAAAAAAAAAATTATACCGTTCTTATATTATTATATTGTAATAATTGCAAACGTACCGTTATGTATGAGACAAGCGTGGGGGATGCTGCGACAATTGACACTACCGTTATTTGTAGGTGTTCAAAGAGAGTTGAAATATTTTTAAGTTTCCATAAAACCGAGGCAATGGCCCGGCGTGACTTGCTAGCACCGAATGCTGGCCGTTTTGCAGCGGATTTTCTCGGCATGACAAGGGTGTGTAGTCAATAAACGAGGAGATGTATATATATATATATATAAACATAAACGGTACAGACTCACCCGGTTGTCATGCCAACCGGACCGCAATGGTTGTCCTGACAACACGACGGTTGTCAGACATGTTTGTTAAATCCGCCGGAAGGAAATGGGAAATTTAATTTAAAAAAGAGAGAGAGTCAGAGAGAGAGAGAGAGAGAGAGAGATGCATGCTATAGCCGACCGAAATCATCGCCCTCGGGCAAATCTCACCCCGAAAAGCAGCTCCAGCAGCCATTTTGGTCTTATATGGAACGTGACGATAATACTCGGCCTGGGTTTATTTTGCACAAACCCACTTACCCGCGTTCCTATAATGAAAGTGTGGCGTAGACGAGAAGGGCAAGAGAAACAGAACAGATCAATACATCACCCTTATAAAATAGAATTTCCACCCAAGTCCAATTACCGTTTGACGGTACGGCTGCTGTGTAACGTGACAGCAAAATAAATTGAATTTTCATTGGTAGTTTAGCTCCGATGCTCATTATTGTTTTTACAATAATCAGTGTGTCTTTTTGTACTGAAAATTAGACGATAGGTAGACCTAAAATGGGTCTATAACATATACAATTTTCTTAAAAATCGTTTTTTGTTTTTACAAAAACACCATCTTATTTGTTGCCCAGACTTGAGGTTTTTTCTTAACGCCATCATAAAAATATTATATAAAATAGTGTCGATAAACTGATAAGCCTTTTCTGGATATACCTTCTAGGGAAAAGTTTCCACCCCTGCTAGGCAAAAGAGTTTATGATATTTATTTGGTTTGTCAACGTTTATTGATAGCACCATGTCCAAATACTATTCCATACAAATTTGAAATTGATTCGGCCATTTTTTAAAAAGTAATGATGGGTCCAGTAACAAAATCAAAAAGGGAAAAAATCATTGTAAAAACAATGCCTTCTACCACTAGTAGTAATTGTTGGTTATGTATTTCTGTGCTTAAGTAGGTCATAAAATAACTAGGCGAATGGCTCAAATATTGCAAATTTATGGGATTTCAATAAATTCTTTATTAGGTATTTAAAAGTTTCTCGTTGATAGTAAGAGTATTTTTTAAATAATTGATGCATAAAATCTATCTATCTATAAAATAAATCTATGCATTGTACCCACGAGGTGGGTACAGGTCTAAAGCAAAAATTACTTTTATTATTTGATCTCTTTTAAGTAATGTAAATAATATCATTTTTTCTTATTTTAAGTTGTTGTGCCATGTGTAAATATTGTGTTTAGTCAACAGTTAAGATACAAAAACGATAGGTAAGTGCTGTTGTGGACCCACGGTTTGGTTTAAAACAAATAATGCACATATTGTTGTTTGTTTTTAAGTATAAAAAATATTTTAGTGAAGATTTCTCTTCATAAATATTTATTTCACACAGATTTATGATATTTATTTTTTATACACCAGCCGTACTTGGTCAATTACTATATCATAACATCAGTATTATACAGATGTCTTCCAAAAGAATTATCCGAAAGAAAATAGTATGATTCTGATAAAATCTTTTAAAGACATGGCAGTATCAATGTAATAAATTAGAACTTAAGTTGCATATTAAAACTCGAATGTTGCCATAACATATTTTACAAGTCGAGTAAGTACGACTGGTGAATGAATAAGAAATACCATATTCTGTGTAAAATATAATATTCATGATGAAATCCTTAAAATACAAAAATAACTAGTGTTGTTATCGACCAATCTTCCCAAATGTACTTAATAAAAAAACAGTTTGTCTACAGATGTATGAGAAAATTGTTTATGTTATAATAAAAGTTTACTCTACTCGAGTCCGTAGATACAGCTGGTTACTAGTTAGTCTGTGTAGTGTGTTTCCGATGAGGTGGCTAGTGGTGATCTAATTGTTAATATATACTATTCTACAATAATTTGAAATATTGTGTAGTCTATGTATATAATATACAGGTGTCGTCCCACAATGATTCGACAAATGAAATAATTTTTGTGCTAGTGTCGCCAAATGGACATTAGTTCTCTGTTCAGTAAATATATGCTTTATTTTTATGACTTTTATTTTAGTTAATTAACTAGGGGAACACAGGGCAAGATAAGTACACGAGGTAAGATCGGACAATGAAATCAACTGGCTTGCCGACCGGCGACCGAAGAGTTGGTGACAGGTGTGATACCTAATTTTCGGTTTTGGTTGTTATCATATGTCTTATCAACTAATATCACAGAATAAACCAAATGGATCTTTTGGGGATCTTAGAGTTTATCAAATATCTTTTATAAGTGAAAATCTTTAGTAAAAAAGTTTTTCAGCCGAGTCTGCAACCACGAAAGAGCATTTTCATGTCTCGTTGAAGTACCGAATAAATATAGATTAGTTGTGGAATTATAATTTAAAAAAATTACATGGAGCTTCCAGTTACAGCATAAGCCAAGAAGATTAAAACATTTTGTACAATCATGTTTCTGGCTAAAATTGTAGTGTTTATTATCTGGCCAAAAGTAACTTAACATAGTTTAATATATAGAGAATTAAACTATTTTGAATTTATTATTTAGTACTAACTTGAACGTTGAACGTACAACATATCTCTTATCTATATCTTACCCCTATCCCCTACCCACTATCTCCCGTCCCTATCACTCACCCTATCCACTACCCCTATCTCATATCTCATATCAGATAACAGCGTAACACTTTTTCGTTACGCTTTTTTCGGTTATGTGCCAGAGCTAAGACATGAAAATGTCAAAAACGGTCAGACATGTAGCGAATTCAGGCAAAAGGTTGCCCGCCAGGTGTCCGAAGACATTGGTCGATAGTTGTCGTGTGCGTATTTATATGTGCGCTCTGGGTGACTTTGATCACATGCGAGAAGTTCGCTACGGTTCGTCCCAACTACCGAGATCTGGCGATCTGACCATGTGTTGAGGCGGTATCGATGCCGACAGTTAGGTTGTGCTAGCTGTGGCGCCTCGTAGCCATACATCCGCCACAGTGGTGTATGTGGGGCCGCCACAGACATATTGATAAATAGGCAGTGACGCCAGAATTTAGATATTTCCTTGTTGTTATTTTTTCTGTGACTTATGGCTAAACTGTTCGTTCATTAAATGTCCTACGCCGCGTCGACTACGATGTGGTCGCAATTTCCCGCGTTTGTTCAGTGAACAATTTAGCCAGAATGAACGAAAAATGAGAATTTCCCTATGGGCACTGCCCATTTCTCGATCATACTCAAGATGTCGGACATAATTTTATCTCATCTCATAAGAGCCCATGTAAAAATTGAATAGATTTTCTTGGCATCGGTCATAAGCTCCCGTGGTCATAGCCTCCCAGATGGTCAGAAGCTCCCAAGCACAGATATATATTAGCATAGATAATAAATGAATGGATAGGTCATGCCCATAGATAATCTCATGTGAGGCCAGGTTCCCGGAATGGTGGCCAACTGAGGCGAATTATCAATATTTATGTTATCAATTATTTACATTATACAAAAAAAAATGTATGAACATTTTAGTAATCAAAGTTAAAACAAATTTTCAATTTTTGAAAACATGCAATGTGTCAACAATGAATCAAATGTGTTTTTTGACCAAACAATTCAATTTTTAAAGAATGAAAAAAAATATTTGTGTCATGGAAAGGAAAAAAAATCGCCTCAGTTTCTTATCATTTGAGAACCAACTATTTGGGTTTATGTCCTATCCATTCATTTATTATCTATGTATATAATAAACTAGATTGCTAACTAGCGATAAGAATTGAAGCCGACGGTCCGCCATTCTGGTGAGATTTATGTGTGTTATCAATGCATATGCTTATATCTGTATACATTATTAAATCAATATTCTATTTATGTGATTGTTATAAACATATAATTCTCGCGTGATAAGGTTCTAATTCCCACCAAGTGGCTCCTTCAATCTTCTCTATTGGTGGCATGTACAGTTAGCAATCTAGTTTATTAT